ACTGGGTAGTTCAATACTTATAGACGAATGAATAATTCTCGGAATAATTATTCGAAATCGATAAATCACCCTGTATCTCCGTTATGAAGACTCTAAGACCAATCAATTATGGTATTTTCAGAACCACCTTGGTGACCCCTATGTACCATTGAAATATTTCCCTCTATCTGTGAAACATCTTGTATAGTTCCCCTCGACTGTGCCCGTCTGAAGTCCGTTACCCCCTCTAAATTTTTGAACCACCTGGTATTTCACAACGACATTTGGCAGGCTCAAATAGGAGATACAAACCTACTCTTTCATGTAAAAACGACAGCTCAAAGTTGTAAAATGGCGTAAACAATGAAGCGACAGAATGGGCTTATATCACAAAACATTTTTATTTCATAATTCGATAGAACTCACCCAAACTAGCTCACCACCGCAAACCGTTTCTTGCTGTGAGCTCCCTACGTTTTATAAAAAAATAGTGAAATCCCCGATTTTTCGGACCTCTGAAAACGAGGCGATGATGTGACGTCAAAACCCGAATACTGAAACAAGACTATTCCAGACAGAGATGAATGATACATAATTTCTGACAGAGTGAATTAGCGCGAGATCACAGTTGAAAGAATTAATATATTAGTTGCCTCAGTCTCCGTCGGGCGTTTGGTATTTTCTTTTAACTATGGCGAGATGAGGTTTCTACGTCATAAGAGGGTCTGTTTTCAGAAGGTACTATTATTCATATCCAAAAATAAAACATTCCAGTTAATTTTTCGATCGAATTATGTCGTCAATCATTATTTATGTATATAAAAGGATCATTATGAACATTGATTGAGTTGAGAGTTCTACTAAGGTGTACACGCCCATTGTCATAAGTAATATCACGATGTTCTGAATATTCCAGATGATTCTGTTGCTTCATTGTTCACAAAATTGTGTTGCCGAGCAACACCACGATCTCGTCAGGACGAGTAATATTGCTGGACGGCAACACAATTGAGATAACAATGTAAGAAAGAATTATGAGAAGATATTCAGAACAGAGTGGTATTTTGTTAGACTATTTCACGTTCACGAAGCATAAAAAGCATTTATTAGTAATGAGTAATTCATTCTGACAAGTACAGCCATAATTATTTTATTTCAAACTGACAGACTTTGCTTCGTTGTCAATGGTTACATCCAGACTTCAATTTGCTATCCATGTTTACATCGTTGAAAACATGAACGCTGTCAGACCAATCAGAATTGTGAAAGACTGCTCATATTTTGGAGATAAGCACACGTTGTCTCTGGCTTGTCAGTCAGATTATGTGATGAGTGAAATAGTCACAAATATTCAGAGAATCGTGATTGAGATGTGAAAATTCTTCTGGTGTACACAATCTTCAATTGTTTCGTCAGACTAACTCTCGATATGAACAATTGAATGTGAGTTCGAACGTGGGGTTCTCATATTCGATGATAGATGGCGTGAACCATGGAGAATTGGAAATTTTCAAAATGCGTTTCGAATCTTATTATGAAGTTGAACTAGACCCTCAAGGTTCATGATGCACGAATTCAATAACAGCTGAATGGAACCATCTAGAGATAGGACGCAAACGAGTCAGGGAGCAACAAATAATCCGTGTGGAAAAATCTTGATCTTTTTGAGTTGAGTTCGTTAGACAGGTATTGATGTTATATTAGTTGAGTGAGTGTATTGTGCTCCAATCATGGACTGACTTTGCTGCAATGTGTGAGGTTTATTTGAAAATCCGAACTTTCGTTTTATTTTATTTACCAAAAGTGAGTGAATAAACTATTTTCACAGGATTTTCTTGAGTTAGGACACCATTGAGAGTCGAAAATATTACGCACCTTTTCCATTCGCACGAAAAAGTGAGAAAATGAAAGAAAATGTGAACTCAAATGAATGAGTCGTGATGCCTGTAAATTTTCTGGATCAGAATCAACTACATTCATTGATGACAGATGATTTCAAATAGTTTGAAATACGGTTCACCAAGGAAAAAACCTATACTTTTGGCAGCATTAATTTGCATAGGAGGCAACCCTGAACATGTTTTTTGCGAGGTGTTTTGTTATTATTTCCGAAACGGTTTGAGATAGAATAATTATATTCTCTAGGCTTACTCAACTCTACATGCTCAATTCAAAAGTGATCGAATCAGCATCAAAATAAACCAGAACCAGAACAAATGATCGCATAACAAAGTTTGAATCATCAAAATAACAAATCGTTATTTTTTTATCGTCAATATTATTTTTCCATATTACGTATGTATGATTGTTGGCTTATTTTATGTTCAAATCGATTCAGCTCCAGAACAGCGCAATTTTTATAGGTAAAGAGATGTTAAGAAATTGTTGAAGACTAAAAATTTCATTATATGGGTGTTGAATTGGATTTGCTACTACTGTCTAATAGAGGTGACAACACCGCATTGTCGAAAATATTTTAGTTCACCATAAACGTCTAATGTGCCATCCACCATGAATAATTAGCCTGTATATGTATAATTTGTGTAATTTTGTATAATATGAATTCAATTCAGCTAATTTTATTCTTACATTCAACGGACAATGAGGTTGCCATGTATCAGATAAGATACTATAGCTCGTGATATACGGGAAAAATTGTATTGGTATACACAATATAATATTGATAAAATACCAAACAATTCCAAATATTTGTTACGAAGCGCAATGATAAAGTGAATAAAAAATATATTTTTCTGTACCGACATACCAAATGATCGTCTGAGTGATCGTCAACAGATGACAAACACATTCCACAGATAATATCTCGAATAATAATATTAGTATGTCCAAGGAACAATAAATATAACGTCCATTTCCAATTGCCAAATAAAATGATGAGATAGACAGCATATATTTTTATCGATTTTTATTCATCGGTAAAGTTTGTATGTTGTATATACCTACATACTTTTTGATTTTTTCCGATCCGCTCAGATTTTACTTCAGAAAAAAATCGAAGAATCCGAACGGGTCCTTCACTATTTAGAAGTAATTACTTCGTGAATAATTTGTAATCAGGAAATTGGATTTCAAAAAATATAATTCAACCTATGTAAGTAACTAGCCAATATTACAATAACGTAATTGCAGTGAATACAGAATTTCTGATTACCCAAATATATACAGTGTGCGCGTAAAGCTCGGCGTAAAGTATGGAAACATGAAGATATCTTTGACAATATATGCATAAAGAAATACATGAGAATTCGCATTCTTTATGTGATGGAAATATTAATTATTTCTCGGTATATTCAACAGAAAACAACTATTTTGCCATATCTCTTGAACACACCCGATAAGAATTTTGAAATAAAATCTTCTGAAGATGAGAATTTGCATTCTCCTTCAGATAAAAATATGTATACAAATTATATAATTTTGAATATTCAACAGAAAACAACTACTTTTCTGGCTATTTGCCACGTCGAACATTGCATCTGAAATTGAGAATTGACATTTTCTATCAAATCGGATAAATAGTATGATGTAAAAATATAGTTTATATTTATATATTCAATATTGAAATGAAAATTGAAATGTATAAAAGTATACTTGTATAAACTCTGACCTTGATGAGCTTGAAACTTCAAAAAATCATTCGTATCAGCTCGTGTATCAGTGATATGGGAATAATATCTTTTTAATTATATCCAGATCGTGTTTGTTCAATAGATATCATTCATTCATTTTCTGTTGAATATACCGAGAAAGAATTAATATTTCCATCACATAAAGAATGCGAATTCTCAATGTATTTCTTTATGTATATATCCATTTTTTCATGTTCATAATATATCTGAGAATATTCTTTTTCAATACTTCCATCAATCCATACCCAATCAAGGGGTTCAAACTTGAACGATGAAAACCTGTTATTTTTATAAATCCCTAATCGCAGATTCGTGATTGGGTTTTTTCAATTCAGAATTTCTTTCCACGTCCTGTATGATGAATATCAATTTGTCATACATTCAAAAACTTTTTTTTATGTTCTGGTTCCCACGATAAGGGATATCCTGTAATGTTCGAATACCGTTCACCTTTTATACCAAGTCTCATTTTGATACACCTCATATTATAAAAATTATGACTTGTTTAATAGATTCGTTGACACTCGGTATATGGGTCTCAAAACATTTTTATAGGCACCCGGTCAGGAATATGTGTTCTGGGTGATTTTTCGGGGAAAAAGTGGTACTTTAAATCCTTAGGGATTTGAAGTTAATTTATTTGCAAAGAAAGCTGAATTCAGAATAGTATATTATGCAACAAGTGTTATAAACGTCCTTTTAGTAAGGAGTATTTTAAGCACGAGCGGAGCAGAGCGGAGCGAGTGTTTAATAAACGAGGGTCTAGAAGAGTTTATAAACGGGTTACATACTATGATCTTTCTACGAACTCCGAAAATTACCTACCTGCTATTACTGCTAACCTACGAAATAATTCGAAAGGAATGGGAATCGAGAACATAATACATGCAACTGCATGCAACCAGCGAGACACGTATAAGTGATATTGGTCTGGCAATAAACTTTTTGTCTAGGGATTTAAAATACCACTTTATTTCCTAGGTGTATAAGGTACTATTATGCTCTTTTCAAATGGCATAGAGTAGGTTTACAATATTTTCTATGCTAAATTATGTCAAACAGAATTTGCATTCGATCTCTTTTTTTACTAAAAATATAATACCAATGAACATTTTACTGAAATCAAACTTCCACGCTCTGTATGAAAAAATTAACTGTACATGGAAACCTTTGATAAGACTAACTGAAATAGTACGATATGATAGATCGAAATTTCAGTCAATTTGACCGAAAGGCATTTCCAATAATATCTGTGCGGGGTTCAACTACTCGTCCTATAGATACTTTTTTTCCGCTTTTTTCCGAGATTCCGAACTTATATTATCATCACACAAACTACTGAAATAACTTCAGATTGATTAGGAAGCTTACCGGATGAAGACAGCGTTTGATTTTCCTGCACCATCGTGGCTGCTCTTGAAAGAACGTCTAAGGGGGATTCTCCTCCCTCCATACTAGTTTATCTGCAAAAAAGAGCGATTTCAATGGGTTATTTATACACCAAGGTAGTAAAAAATATAACTACCCAGGGACCAAGATTATATCCTGAGGCTCCAGACGAGGGGTAGTATATAAGGTCCTGTGATAATATAGTAATTTATGTACAGGGTCTTCATATTGTATATTTTGAAGCCCCTTAACTAATTCATTTATCATCGATTTTTTTTACAAAAAACAATCATTCATAATTTTTCCTGTAGATTTTGAATATTTTAACAGAAAAACAATTGAGCATCTCAAAAAAAAAGTTATGGGCAAGATGTATAATTTTTTTAAATGGAACAGCCTGTTTTTATTGCATTTTTAGATTCTCCCTGAGAAGCTGATTTCATCGATCTATCACAGTTGGGGTCTAGCTGAAATGATTACATAGATAATATATAAGGTGTTAAAAACTCGGTGAAAAATTGAGATTTTTTCAACTTCAGGAATTTTTTGTGTCGAAACTATTCATTATTGGCCAAAACGGTTCTTATGTCCCTAACTTAACTTTTGATTTATTATCTACTGACATTTAATTGAAACGAATACAGGGTGGTTCAGAATTCTGATCACCCTATATGTGTGAGGGTAAGATCTACCCCTCCTAGGGGGTTGAACCAAGTAGGTTAAAAGTGTCCCCTTTGAAAATAAAATCGAATTGGTTTTTCAATTTCTCATATTATTCACTGGAAGCATAGATGAAGATATTGAGGGAGGAAAGTTTTCGAGGAAGTTTTCAAAATTCACCCTGTAAAGAGAACTCAGAATACTGGTTTCTGAAGCATTTCAGAGTGGTAGAAATCTGAATAATGTTTTAGAACATCTTTTGTGAATTCATTAGTCTCGTATCAAATAGTTTTGACTCTGTGCATCTGTTTATTTCATTACCTACTACCAATACTGATTCTAGTATCGTAATGAGATACTTTACCGCACTAGTGCGGTAAAGTGAAAACACAATTTCAATTTCCATTGTTTTAGTCAAAGAAAACAGAAATAAGAACTAGAATTAATCCTGAATATAGCAGATACTGAAGTATGAATTGCATGATTTTCCGCAATTTCTATATATGGATCAATAAATTCGTGATCGGAATTTGTTCGATAAATTTTCCTCAAATTGAAATGAACGCGTAAAAGTTGACAGTTTGAAGAATGAGTGACAAGCGAGAACACAATAGATACATGACAAGTATGTATACGCCCAACCCTCATTTTTGATTAAATAATTAGAGTTTTTGGTAGTAGGTAAAATATTGTACTATATTCGTATCGTAAATTCATATTACGATAATCGATGGGTTATCAAACTCGGCCTTTCGCCTCGTTCGACAACTTTCCCATCTCAAATCGTAATATGAGTCTTTACGATACTCGTATCGTAAATATCTATTTCCGTCGACCTCGTATTAACGACTAAGTTTAATGCGAGGTTTAATGTATATGAAATCGTTCATTAATGCTCCTATTAATGGACGATTTGTCTATTAATGCACGATTGTTTTATAGGCAACCAAACATACACCGCGTGCATTCATTGTTTATGCTATAACTTACGGAATCTGCATTTAAATCGAAAATATGGATTTCATCGACGATTTTCCATTAACGGGTTCGCCTTTCCAAGTTTCTCCCTGTTTTCTAACACAAGGAATTTATTTCCTATGTTGATCATTTCGACAAATGTCAAATGACACTAATGGCAGTAACAAGGCTACTGGGTGATTTTCAGCAGTTTCCGGATGGATGATGAATTCGCGAACCAAGTTTTCTTCATTGCAGGAGAAATGAGAAATATAGTCGACGGAAAAATTTTGTAACCAACTTGTATATTAAAATGCGATTAATGATCTCGAACATTAACGCACTCGCTTCGCTCGCACGTTAAAATATCTCGATCATTAATCGCCCTCATTAAAACACTAGTTGGTTAAATAACTATTATACTGATGTTATTTTCAATTGAATTATTGATTATTCATGTATTCTAAAATGTGTTTCGATGCGTATTGATGTTGATGTGGCATTGTTGAATGTTCAATCGGATGAATAAACCTTTCAATTTTTTCACACAATTATGAAAAAATCAGGTCCGTATTGGACCGTATTACAAAATTTACTTGATGATAGCCAAATTGAACTCGAGACGCATCAAAACCACAATATGTAGGATATCGACGAAATCAGAATGGAAAGTGCTATTCGAATCTGATATCAAAATATTATAGCCGTATCTGAAAAAATGAAGTTGATGATGGCTACTCAAAAACTAAATGTTGGATCACAAAATCGATAATGCTAAATTGAAACGCATCAAAAGTTGCCATGAAAATGTTATTCAGTTTTGTCAAAACTTCATTATTAACGCCAGCAAAAAATGAAATTGTAAATCCAAACATACCGTTTTTTGGCAAAAACTCGAAAACGGAAAGTAATATCAGAGAATTTTTAAGGTCATTTTGTTGGTTCTTCACTCACGCAACTTTTCTTTCTGTCAACCAAATCTGTATCTCTCGTAGTTTCCCAGATACCCCACTAATCTGTGCCCATACTGGCCCTTCTTATCTTGGGCACATATTGTATAAGGGCCACTTCAAATGCCGTCAAAGTAACTGTTAGTATGCCGCTCACAGTAAAGTCTTTAGAAATTGAGACTAATTCAGCAAAAAACATAGCCAGAATGGCAAACAAGAATTGCTCTGAATCGTTGGTGTATAAAATTTGTATATTTCCAAATTGGATGTGTATAATTGTGTATAATGATTTGGGTCGGCGCCATGTATAATATGGTAAAAAGTTCGGGGGGCAACACCAACTTGGATTGCGAGTATTGAATATCCCCCAGTTTACCGAGGGAGAGAGAGAAAGACATATAACGACCTCTCGCCCAGTTTTGTTTTGATGCCGTGGTGGTATTTTCAAAATTCCCTTGTGAATATATGGAACGAGACGAAATGGAAATATACCAAAAGAAAGTAAATATTCTTTTTGCATGCGAGATTGCGAGGAGACTACTTTTTCCAAGAATATTACAAAACTCAGCATAATATACAGGATGTTTCAAAAGTCGAAATTTCAGGTCAAAATAGACTATGCAAGGCTATGCAACGTTCCAAGAAATCTTAATGAAATTGGTCATCAAAATTGACACTGACATTGGGTGAACATGAAATGATGGAGTTTTCTATAAAAAAATTACACAAAATTGGTTTTATAACATTTGGAGACAAAATTATATGTTTCACACGGAAAAATTAAGTTGACTGCTACTACTATTGCTGCCTAGTAAGAAACTATTTTTCCCTATAAACATGATTGTGTCCGCAAACGCTTCGTTTCTCTACAAAGGAGCAGCGTTATAAGGTTCGATATTTTTTTGTTTTTTTTCATTCATTTCAGGTAGATTGCAACGAAATTGGAGTAAGAGTGGACGACCTAGAAAAAAACAATGTTACGCGGTTTCGAAAATGCGAACAAAATTATATAACTTTAAAATTGAAGAAATTTATCTTTCAGCTTCAACATTCAAATGACTGTTTGATTGAAAAATATCCTTATGGAAAAAGTGAATCCTGTAGGTGGGGTAGAAACGTAGTAATAAATAACTAACATGCGATCTAACATACAACTTATTCATCTGGGTTTATTGAAAATGTTCACATTCCATATATATATATATGCTCTTTCTGGTAGAATATTATTTGTTATTCATCTGCAAGGCCAATTATTCAACTAGAATTCGTCTATTGAATTTTTATTTTGAAGAATTACTAATTCATGACTTTTATGAATCCTAGTATACAATGCAGCAAGTCAAGCACGTTACTGATAGGCAATGAATTATTTTTGATTGTGAATTTTTCTCCAATGAATATTTCGAACAAAATAATAATATAAATATTCCTCTAGAGTTTTTTGATATCGATTGGTCAGAATAAAAAATTAGAAAAGAATGTTATCCACGAGGTTATCCATTCTCTATAGTTTGAAGTTGAAAATTATTCCTATATTTTTGCAAATATGTTGGGATGGAATCGATAACTATTAATTATTAATTATTTCCACAATTCATATGTTATGCCAATTATAAGTAGAAGAATTTTGTTTTATTTTTATAGACAACCATATTATACCTACTTTAATTAGAATAAATAACCAAATTTAGACTGATTATCAATATTTTGTAATGTCTCATTGATGCAAAATTTCAATAATATGGATACAAAATGAGTGAAAACAATAAACAATAATCAAGAGAGACGTGCGCTGTTCCATCAGAAAAAGGCGAAATATCACAAGTTATTATCGCAAGGGAATTTAAAAAAAAAACCGCCACGGAGACGAAACCAAACTGAGTGAAAGGTCATAATATGTCCTTCTCTCTTCCGCAAGCAACCGAGGGGATATCAAGGGATATTCAATACTCGCCTCGTGAGTACGGGAATCGGGAATGTCGAAAGTTGGATGCCGAGGTATAAAACACCCAAGCCGGATGTGTCATGGATTGTATCCTCTTCACTCTCCATTATTGGTTGAGTAGCCACGACTTGCCCTCCCCGCACCATGGTCAGGTTGGGGGGCTTCAGGGGAGAAGGTAAAAACGAGAATTGACCAAGAGAGGCCGAAAGAGGAGACTGAAAACAGGAGAGTGAAGAGAATACAATCCAAGTCAAGTTGACAATAATTAACGAGGTGTAAACCGCGGTCAAATTTGTGTACGACAAACTTCAATTTCACAAGGAATTCCGAATTAATACTGAATTTGGTTAAACCAGGTTCAACAAAACAATTTGTCAAATGGAAATACAGTTTCTCTTGAATCAACGAAATATTTCATTGTATCAACAAAATATTTCATCGAATTAACCAAATATTTCATTGAATTAACCGGAATTAACCAAATATTTCTTTGAGTCGACCAAATATTTCTTTGGGTCAACCAAATATTTCATTGAATCAACAAAATATTGA